ATCCTCAAACTCCGAAAAAAGCACATTTTTTCATCGCACCTGGCCAAATATTTTTTGTAAAAACATGAAAGTTTGGGACAGTCGAAACCCAAAGGTTCTGACCCAACAGTTTAAAGATTTTTTTAAAACCTTTTACTTTTTGGTCAAACTCGTTTTTTTCGGAGGGAAAGTTTTGTTTTTGAGGGGTTCTCTTACCCTTTTCTGCATGTTATTTTAATAGGAAACCCGCCCGGGGCCTCAAAACCCTTTTTAAACCCCCTTCCCAATTTAAGGGGTTTTGAATGAGCTACATCCATGAAAGTTAAACCCCCAAATTTGGGGACAAAGGATAGCTTCGCTTAACGTTTTTTGGGGGGGAAACCCTTTTACGGTTTTTCTTCCAACAAAATCGTTTTTTTCGGAATTGACATTCCCATTCCAAAAAAACCCGAGAAAAAAAGGAACAAAAGTGAAGCGCATGGGCTTTTCTTCACTGAAGGCTTGTTAAAATCTCAAGGTAACCCAGCTTCAAAAAGGGATTTTTAAACCCCCACCCCTTAAAAAAGCACATTTTTAACTAAAAGGAAGGGGGGGCAACATGATTTAACTTTGGAAAAGGATACAATTTGGGCTACCCGGCCCCGGCCCTTTTCCCCTTTACACGCAAACCCCGATAGATTTTTCCCAAAAAAAACCCCCGGGACCCTTTCAAAAAAAAGCCCCTACATTAAACTTTTATATTTTTTTCCCAAACATATGGGTCAACATTATAACCCAAAAATTTTAAACCCCTTTTTTTTAAAAATGAGAACTTTTGGGGGGTTTTTTAAAACACACCCCACAAACAAAATTTTTCAAAATAAAAAACCTCCCACTGCCCACTTCATTACTCCCTAATAACAGGGGGAAAAAAATGATTTTAAAAATGGAAAGTCCCTCAAGATCTTTGGTGGGGCCCGACCCGGGGTTTTCAACAAAAAACCCTTCCCGGGCTTTCAAAAATTTAAAAAACCCCTGACCCTACAAAAATAAAACCTCTATGTTATAAATTTGGCATTTAATTTATGCAAATTGGGTCCGATTTTGACCCCCAAAACCAACCAGCTTGAATTTTTTTTTTACTAGGGCCTTTTTTACAAACCCTAAAACCCCGAGCAATTTCCCAAAAAAAGTCTCCCCAAATTTTTGCTTTTTAAAACATTTTCTTTAAACACCCAATAAAAATGGAAAACCCGGATTTCATATTAAGGGAAAGGATTTATATCACGCTGGGCAGGGCCCTTCCCTTTTGAAACACATCCATATAACTTTAAAAAAAAGACTAAAGGTTTTTCCCTACAAATAAAAGCCTCTTCCCCAGCATCCTCATTCAGTGCCGTTTTTGGCCTTTTAGCAGACCCCAAAAAAACAAATTTCTTTTTTAAAATTTCCCACCAAACCCGTTGACCACACACCGTTTTCATTTCTTTTTTTAAAATCAAATTTTCACTGTAATAAAGCATCTGTAACCTCGTAACAATTTCAGGGTAAAGGGCCCAAAGGGGCTTTTATCAACCAAAAAATCTCTATCAAGGGAAAGGGTTTGTTTTTTTTTATAAATTTTACTCTTAAGTTTGGGAGTAGCTCTCTTTTTAAAAAGCTTTTCTCTCTGTCCTTTTCCCCGGGTTTTCCATGGGTTTTCCCTTTCCAAAAAGGGAGGGTAGTTTTTTAAAACTCTAAAGGATGACACTGGTTTCTTTTTTGTGATCAACCCAAACATTTTTTTAAAAAATTTTTAAATTGTTTTCCCCAACGTTTTACATTTTCCCCATAGGATTTCAAAATTTTTTTACTTATTCAAACCATTTCCTTATTTTACCTTTCCCCCTCCTTTTAAAATATATTTTTTTTCAAAACCCCCAAATAAGATTCAAATTTTTTTATTTTTAATTTTTTTCTTAAATTTAGAAAATTTTTAAAATTTTTCACCATATTATTTTTGTCCATTCTTTTCCCCTTCCCCTTTTCTGGCAAAAATTAAAACGGTTTTTTTCGCTAAATTCCCTAACCCTGACATGTTTCTGGAAAGTAGGGGGCCCCCCTTCAAAAATTTCTTTTGAACTTTTTTCCAAAACTTGGGGGCCCTTACATTTTGACCCTTCTAGTGTCCACATTGAACACATTTTTTGATATCATGTATGGTTTGGCTGTGCAGCTTTTAAGATGAGTCTGTTTCTGCCATTTTACTGCCAAAATGATTCTACCCTACAAAATCTTCAGATGATTCAATTGTTTTCTGCAGTTTGAAGTTTCTAATGACTTGCTATCACATTTTTATATGTTTTGCAGTTAATTTCAGGTTTTTTCATTCAGCAAAAGCATTCCCACTTGCTGTTTCTCTGAAACAGCTTTTTCTAGTTTTTAATTATTATTTTATTCTTGAAACATTAAGCAACGTTTTGTTCCCGCAGAACAAATGGGTTTCTAAGGAGCTCTCCTCAGTATTGTTAGATTGTCGAAGATGATGACACATAGTAAATTCACTTTTTTTTTTTTAGCTTCACTTCTACCATTTAATTCAGCTGCTGTCCTTGGCTTTATTTAGTGCAGCTTTATCTGACTGTCACTTGAACAGCCACTCTTTTTGGGAGAACTATTCTGATGTTCTTTGGTTTACTTCTATGGGTTTTGTTTTGATATAATTTACACAAAACCTTTCAACGATCTTACTAAGCTTTTAAAGTAATGTTAAAGGAACCTGAAAATAAACTTTTTCAAGACTAAATTTTTCTACATTTTTTTCCCCCTAATAGCTTTCTTTCTATAACAGAAGCAAAAAGAGTGTAAATTGAGAGGCAAATAATAAATTTTTTAATTGAGACCGTATTAATTTTTTATATAAAACCTAAATTAATTAAACATATGTCTGTCAGGTTGGGTGGAGACTTTGATGAACCAAATACGGAGATGAGAATCGGGGATGAGTTTTGCTGATTTTAAAAAGGAATTGCAGACAACTGAAGCAAAAATGAGAAAAAAATCCAAAGAGCTTCAGGGAGAAATACGTGGAAAACAAGAGACAAGGATGAAACTAAACATTAACAAGAAACCAGCACTAAGGCAAGGCTGTGCTGCTCTTTAAAGCCCAGTTTTCTGTTGAGACTGATGAGCTCCACCTGTGTAGACTACCCAGGTTCTCCAAGATCCTCTCTGGAAGCGATGCATCACTCGCTCTCAAAGACACACACACAGGAACCCTGACAATGTCAAAGCATTGCTTGTGATATTAGATAATTAAGTTAATATTAAATAAGTTAATATCAACATTTCTTTTATTTTAATGTATTTTACAGTCCATGATTACACTGTTTACCACAGACCTGACGCTTCATGTTTGTTGTAACTGATATGTTTTGTTTTTAAAGCAAATATTTATAAAATGGTAAAATGAAGGAATTTATATTTTATAGATATATATATACATATACATATATTTTATAGACACGGCAAAAAGGTCATTGGTTTGTACAATTCTGTTTGTGGACTTTCTTGGCAGTCTTTCTGAGGATTTTAGGGGTTTTTGTATATTGATATTAATGTTAAGTAATATATTTTAATAAAATACAAGCCTTAGGTCAGCAGCTTATGTCAGGATTTTTTGCTATTGGCGCTTGTGTGCTGATTTTTAAAGTGAGTTCCCCCCTGTAGGTCCTTACATTCATGCTCTATATGTGTAAAGCTAAAAAAATTTTTGAATTGCTTTCATACACATGCATGCTGAATCGAATAGCTCACACCAAACATTTTCGGTGCTCTTACAGTTCTGTTACAGCCATATTAAATCATTATCTCAATCTTAAAAGAATGCAGCATCCTTCACTTGTAAATAGCAATGAAATTATAATTATTAAAAAATGCATGGCAGATCATATCTAGGCAGATTAAATGAGTATAATCTAAAACAAAAGCTTGATTCTCTTAAAAAGTGAGAGTTGTAGAATTTACAGATTACTGGACATGGTAAATAGAAACATTATGCAGTGATCATTGAGGCATTTCAGGCTTTTGTGAGATGGAACTGTTGGTGTTTAGTTACATCATAAATTCATCATATCTGTAATCCTAAAAACAGCCAATAATCTCATTCCGTCCAAACCCCTGATGTGGTATCAGCTGATACATAATCCAATAAATACAACATTTTCCTTCATTATAATATGTATTTATGGAAGCAGATGATAAAGATTATTGTAGTTTTTAGCATTGGGGTTGTGTCTGTAAAACATGGGGGAAATAACATGCATTTTTTTCTAGACTCGTCTTTGCGTTGATTACACATCCTAGCAACTGATGTCAGTGCAGTCTACTAAATTCTTTTATAAAATAAGTCTTGATAAGATTTTAAAAAAAATCTTTTTTCCATATTTAAGGGCAGCGTCTAAGGTTACAATTTAAGTGACATTTATTGTGTATGGAAAAAAAAATCCCTCTTTCTTATTTTTGGATGGCAGTAAACTTCACGCTTAAGCAGAAACGCAAAGCATTATATGAAAATGATCACTCATTTTCAAGTTAAGCGCACCTCTTGCCCTAAAACGCTTCTCCAACCACATACTGGACTAAAATTTAGACTCAACATAAAAATGTCTGTTGTGATCTTTAGAGATCATCCAAAATAACTGAAAACAGCAGACAGGACAGTTCTTAATACAAATTTAATACTCTCTTTTCAATCCTGCAAGAAACAGAACTCAATTCCATTGGTCTCTATCATGATAACAGCTCCTAATTATATACAGAAAGGATATTTCCAAGGGTCAAGCTTAACTATTTGTTCTGTATCAATCACTCAATATGTATTTGTACACTACATTCTTCCTAAAACCACCTATTTTTGTGAATATGTAGTAAATTGTTTCCTTTTTGCTTTATGTTATGTAGCAGCTTGTATTGACTATCATGTACTTTCTTTAGGAAGCTGCTAATGCCCATGTGATGTTTTTACTGCTATGATTTCACTAATGCAGGATGCTCTCTTTCAGGCCTACACTTTGCAAAATCAATATGGCATTCCACATTCAGAGGTACGGTTGCTTCTGGGAGAGCTGTAATTTCTTTAGGCGTGGACCGGTTATGGTATAAAGTTATACTGAGGATTTAAAAGTTGTGATGTCAAAAATGTCCCAGTATTACTTTATTAATATCATAAGATTATCCCTTTTCAACTTCTTCCTTGGGACTTTTGAAGAAATCTGGAGGGTATAGAATACGTAGAAGTACTGACTCTCTTTCCCCCTTTGCTGCAAACCATGGTTAGCTGTGGAAGCATTCTCACAATATTCTTTTTAATTTACAGGAAAATAAATATTTGGAAAGCTATATAATCACTGATGCACATAGTGGGGTAATATTGGGCCCTCCAATTTAATTTGAGGGTATCATACTAATGTTCCTGAGATGTAAGCACTATGTCTATGACAAACAAGGGGATATTAAGCGCTTATTTGGTTTAGATTTGTAAAGTTTATTTATCACAACAATCCTTTCAATTCAATTCAGTTTATTTGTATAGTGCCAACTCACAACAAATGTCATCGCAAGGCACTTAGATATAGATAATACATGTATACCCACAACTTATGCTGTGTGCTTATGCCATAATTTTAATGGCATAAGCACACATAGTATAAAGGAGAATAATATCCCAACGTTAAGTTGTGATCTATCAGACACTGTAGCAGGGTAACATATATATATATGTATATACATATATATACATTCAAATTTCAGACATCTATTACAACGTTCTCATAACACATGAAAAAACTATTTTGAGATCATTAGTTTATGGTTAAATATGAAAAAAGCCAAGCTAAGAACATCCCAACATAAGTAATATTCCCCATCCTGACAGGGCTAAACACGGATTTACACACCCCTCATGCTAATAAATACGCACTATTCAGAATGCATCAGAGGACACATCCATAGATTAGAGAGTTGATAGGACTTGATGTCACACTACACTAGCATTATCAGCAGGATGGGAGACAATGTGGCAGCTGTTTCATACTTAATATATTATAGAATCTTGGCTGCAATGGCTTAAATAAATGATTTTACTTTTTTAAATTGGACCCAATTAGATGATGTTATTTATTTTTAGTAGAAACTGTAAAACATTTTTTATTCAGGGTTTTCACTTTGGTAGAATACCATACCGGTCCAATGTGTACATTTTATAAAGCCAGATGAGTTTGTAGTTCGGCGTCTCTCTAAATCAAGATCCTCCTTTTTGTTTCCCAGCTGGCCAAACTGCACCAGTTGTCCATGCAACAAGGCCTAAGTCCCATTGCCCAGCCTGCCTCCACAATTATGCCTGGTATGTGTTATTAGTAAGGATTTCTCTTCATTGTACACCTTTGCTCTGTCATGTGCCCTGTTATTCAGAAAAGTTGAATGAAAGAAAAAGGATTGAGATCTGTGTTAAAAATAAAACAAATAAAATGGAGATTAACTCTGACTATTGGGTAGTTTTGTACTGGAATAGTTTCTGCAATATTTTAGGGATATTTTATATGGCTTTGTGAATTAATGGACCCAAATGTTTATAGAAATTCTCTAATTGAATGTTTGTATTTTCTTTCGTCAGGAATGGACTCAAACTCTCAAACGTCTCAGGAGCTACTTATTCCCAATGATGTAAGAAAACTCCACTTGATTTTTCCGTATCAGTATTTCTATATCCAGTTCTAATCTCTCATGCACACAGCTCTGCAGCAGGTGAGGAGATGCAACAAGGAAGATAGTGCAGTGTGAGTTCAAAAGAGATGAAAGCAATGCGGGCAACACTCTAATTATCTTCATCACCCAAACCTCGGACTTCACCAAGGTTAAAGGGATTTTTGAGCTGAAATGGATCCTTTCTGCATTATCGTTCAGACGGCACTGCCAGTGTCTTAGACTGACTCCCAAGAGTGATCAGTAAAATCCTCTCATGTTTCCTGACCTACTTAGAAGCTGTCTGCTGTCAAAACAGCCAATAAGGAAACAGAGAGAGAAATATCCATCCCCCCTTTGCTTGCTCAGCCTCCGCCTGGGTTTGATGAGCAGACTCTCTGATCTGAGAGCAGAAATCGCAATGAAATAATCAGTCTGGCGTTAGGTGTGGCTGCTTTAGACAGCAATGTCAGCTCTAGTTTTGCATAGCTGCATTTCCAAAACGATAAGAAGTAAAGTGTAATGAAGACGGAGGATAAATATTTCTGCACATTTCCTCAGAACAGTGAATGATGTTGCAGAGTGTATGAAATAATAGGATCTGTGATCCAACCTGACTCATAACCAAAGCCTTTCTGATTTGCAAAATTATTCATACCCCCTGATATTTCTTTTTATATTATTATTATTATAGGTACAAAATTCAGAGCATTTTATTGAGATTTTATGTGCTTGACCAACACAAATTAGTAAATGATTGTGAAGAGATAGGAAAGTGATACAAGGATTTTAAATTTTGGGGTGTTTTTGTTTTATTTCTGTTTAGTTTCCAGAAATTAAAACCCCTTTTTACAGTATCTCTACCAGCTGCTGTGTCAATTCTTCTTTTGATTTGGCTAATCAGTTAATTCTTTAATAATCAATTGGTTCTTCAATTGATTAGTGGAATATGGATGTTTTCCCTTCTAAGAGTTCCTTATATTTTACCCCCATGATTCCTAAACTCCCATGGTTTCCTGTTTATGACCAATCAAAATTTGCCTGGAGCCTAACGCTGCCATTACCTCACGTTATTGCGGGGAAGTTATGCTGACGGTAAGGTTCAGATTTTTTTTTTCTGCTTTCAAATTTAAACGAATTTTGCAAGCATCTAATCAGAGAACCTTCTTCCACATGTTTGCTCTGTCCTTTACATTTGGCTTAAAACAAGATGGCTTTCTGTAAACCAAGCGTTTTTTACTCATTACTCTTCCATTGTGGAGGTAGGGCTTATATGTGTTCTTCAGACAGATTCTCCCACTTGATCAGCAGCCTCTCCAGAGTGCTTACAGTATTTTTATCCTGGTCCTTCTTAGATTAATGTTCTCTTTGTTTATAGGCCTTTAGTTAAGGTAGATGACTATTTTTGTAGGTTTGCAGCAGTGCTGTAGTCTTTATTTATTCAACAGAGCTCTGGAAGATGTTTTAGACCTGAGAAATTGTTTTAAAACCCCTGCTTTAAAATTTTCCACAACTTTATACCCGATCCGTCTGCTGTATTTTGTGGTCTTTGTGGTGTCCTCCCTGAATGTTCTCTAAGAAACCTCTCACCTAATCACTGCTACTAGGATTAAATCATATCAGGTGAACTGTATTTACTAACAATAAGACTTCTAAACCTATCTCACACCAAATCTCACATTTTAAATTATTTGTTTAAAGATTTGAAAATGAGGTATAAATTCATTTCTACTCACGTTTGTGTGCATATTTGTGTTGGCGTCTCAAGTAAAATCCTATTGAAGACTGTTGTTAAAATGTGACAAAATGTGACCCAGGTTAAGTTGTGTCAGTTCGTTTTTATGGCCATGAATTTACACTCTTGTCTGAGTTTTTAGCAGTAGCATTTAGATCAAGCAACCAAAAACAACAATCGACTGCACGTGCAGATTTTTTTCTGCACGTGCATAAATAGAAATAGACCATTTGTTATTTGTTCAGGATAATGTGTAGGATATATCCTGATGCTTTAATTAATTTGAAGTAACCCACAGGCCCCCTTTCCCACCTCCCATTCCCAAAGAAACCCCCACATGGCAAACAACACACTGTATCAGAGGACTGAGGGAGTCCAGTGCTATATGTGACAGGGACAGCTGTGCGCTCCAGCCATTGTTCCAGAAGAGAGGACTTAGAGCGTGACTGAGCCTCCAAGGCCCACCGTAAACCCCTCCTCCCTCTTAGGGCTGCACAAACCCACTTTGTGGGGGCACACTGAAGCCCTAAAGAAGGCTTATATGAGCACACACACTTCCACACACAGATGCTCTCTGAAGCTGCTTACACCCAGTCAGCATTGTGCTGCTACGCCTCTGCGGAAGTTGGAAGATTTAGCAGGAAGAAAAATGCTGCACCCTTTGTCGCCTCATCCCTCTTCCTGTGTACTTTCAGCAGGAACTCATCAATCTATAGGCCATATGTAGATCAGATGCACCTGGTAGCCTCAATTATAATGAAATCATCATATCTGAAGTCTCACCTGTTTGGATTTTTTTTTCAGGTTCATACAGAAATGTCAACCGTCTGAAGTCATACAACACAGCAGTGTAGGCAGACTGATGACAGCTGTATGCTATTGATAGCCCATGGAAATTGTTGCTCTCAGATAGGAAGAGGCTTTATCGGCTATATATGGTCTGTGGCGTCCATTGTCTGTAGTGCTGCTCTCTAGGCCAGGCCGCTCTCTGTCCACCCCCTACCTGAAAGTACTGCTGGGCTAATAATAGCCATGCAGTCCGAGCGGATCCTTCAGACAAATTTTGAAACGGTTGCTGCTGACTTGTCAGGACGGGAACGTGAAACCAGCTTATGCTTTATACATCAAGACAAAGTCAAGGGTCAAATAGCATCAGAAGCCACACACTCATATACTACAAGCATTTCATCACTGTCTGCTGCTAATGCTGTATATTTGACTGCATAAACCCCTGGCACCATGCAATGTTTTTGTGTGGCTGTTAGCTCATCTGCTGCTAAGTATGCATCGTCACTACGCAGCCAGAGGTCCAGTCGGGGGTAACTAAAGCAGGGAAAAAGTAATAATGTTTTGGGGATGCAATAGAATGTCTCATCTTGTCTCATCTGCTTCCAGCAGAGAGAGTGTTCAGGCCGACGGGAACGTGCGTTATGTATTGGAGTCATTTTCCCATTATGTTTTCCATTAGTGCAGAGATGCATCTAGCTGGTGTTTGTTTGGGAAGTGATTTGTTTGGGAAGCCGTCACCACTCTGAGCAATCAATAATCTTTTAGCGTCCCAGATTAATGAGAGGCAAATGTGCCTCCTCCCGTCTCCTTTACCGTTATTACGCAGGAGCAATTAGGCTGGACCCTGGCAGGATAGAAAAGTGCATTTGACATTCATGATAAATGACCAAACAACTAAAAGAAGCAACGTAACTGCAATATTTGAATTTGTATCAGGTCAGCTAAACAGAACTGAATTTCTGAAAGACAGAGTAAGCATTACTCTGATTTATTCAGAGACAATCTTTCTTTTTTCTTTTGTGCTGCTGCTTGTCAAATAATGATCAGAATTTTTTGGCGGACTTTGTGATAATTTCGGTGTTTAAGTTACTACAAAATAAGCAGATACTGTACTCATTCAAAAATTACAACAAGGACAATTAAACTACTTTTTGCCCTCTTGATCCATTTTCTATTGGTTTTTGTGCTTTTAGCCTAAATAAGTAGTTCAGTGTAACAAATTCAAGTAGTAAATTTAGTCATCCAAACAATTATCCAAGCATAACAATTTGGTAAAAAGGCTACAAGCATACTCAGTAAGTGTTACATCATAACATCTGATTCAATTTTTGCACCAGAAGAAATTGTGTAATCAGAAAGACAAAAAAAAATAAATGTTCAAACCAAGGCATTAAAGTAATTAAAACGAATTACAGTACCATTAAAAATGTCACTAAAAACCAACGATAACTGCAGAAGAAATTGTTTTTGTTGTTTTTTCAGTACTTAAATTAGGCTAATATAGATAGCATTAGAACGGTGCAGAGTTTTTAGTTATAACTACTGTGTACAGTATTTTATTTGTGTGTACGAACAAAATGCAGACTTCAACATAAACCAGTATGCTTAAACATAGACCCAAACTTTTATTCCACCTTATAAATACACTCAACCTTAATCAGCTCTATGTGGGTAAAGTAGCCAGAAGATTAGCTTTACTTAGAAGTATTTTTTACGAAAATAGAAGTAAATTAAATGTATAAGAAAATAAACTCATACAAATTCTTTCATTCTTTAAAAAAAATGAAATTTCAGCAGATCTTTTTTAGATACAACGTTTTACAGACAAATTGTGTTGTGTCATGACTGATTGCATAAACAGAATCAACTTGGTGAAAATGTTTTGTCTCAGATCTCTTTGATATTGAAGAACTGACATAAAATCAGAAAATGAGGTGTTGAACAGTATTGATTTATGAAGTGTTGAATTAGCATCAACTATGAAAACTGATCAACGCTTCCCTTTGCAGCTGATTGGCTCAATCATCGGCCGTCAGGGAACCAAGATCAACGAGATCCGGCAGGTGTCAGGGGCTCAGATTAAAATTGGCAGCCAGCTGGATGGAACAAGTGACCGCCATGTCACCATCACAGGAACACCAGTCAGCATTAACCTGGCCCAGTACCTCATTACATCCTGGTAAGACCCTCATAAAGCCATCTAATGTGTTGCTGTTAGAGGAATCTGTTGGTCTGACAAGGTCAACAGTCAAACTTGGACTATTAGAGTGGGGCTTTTAATGCTGGGAATTTCACTATAGCATTTAGAAGAAAAAAAGCTTTTGTTATCATCAGCATTGTCTTTGCAGTTCAACATCGTATAATTTTTTTTATGAATAATTCAACTTAAGATGATTTAATGTTTTGTGCATATATTTAGCCAATACAAATAGCTGTGAATAGAAATCTTTTCTTTAAAGGAAAGTTAATATTGTGCAAATATGAAAGACAAAGAAAGCTAAATTTTTACTTTTACTTTTACTATTTCAGGAATTTTAGGATTACCAAATTTATTTCTATTTGATAAATACCAGAATGATTAGAAACACATTTAGTTGAGGATTTTCACATTCAGAATTTGACATAAATTTTCTGTTTTGGAAGAATTGGATTCTACACTGTATTACTTAGGTCCAGTGTTTTGGAGATCCTTTCATAAGCTCCTTACAATAGTTTCTAGGAATGTTGCCCCAAACTAACTGACAGATTGAGTCAGATTATAAACTGCTTTGCTTACAACTTTGCACACTAGTTTTCTATTGGACTCTTTCTAAAGCTCCTTTTCAATTAACAGGTTGTGTCAAGTTTGAAGATTTCTAGTGAGGCTTTAAATACACATCTGATGTACAAATATGTTGCTCTAGTATTTCTTCTTATTTATTCATGATTTGTGGTGTTTTTGTGAAGTTTGCAATTGTCCCTTAAAACAAATTGTCCCTACCAATTAATGCTAAAACTCACTTAATAGCAGGGATGGTTTCATCAAGCCTTCATGTTTCCCTATTTATCTTCCAAAGATATTGCTTGTCCTGATTGCAAATCAACTTAACCCTTAATGTTATTAGACCACAGGAGATGTTTTTAAATATTCCTCTCTTTATCCCCCAATCCATTCATACACAGTTATCTCCCACAATTGTGTTTTAATTAATAAAATGTATGCAACTATGTGTTATTGTAACTGCATTGTTTGCTATGGTATCCAGAAAACAAAAATTACATAAAATGAGGAGGCAATAAACAACAAGAAACCAGCAATGAGGAACTATAAAGGTGGTGTATATATGGGAAACAGAACAAAGGATGGGCTAATGAGCTGATATGGAGCAGGCGTGAATAGAACTAACTAGAAGGGAGCCAAGGCGAAAGGAACAGGCACAAGGGGGCAACAGAGAGCAACTCAAGAAATACAAAACTGATGGAAAACAACTTCAAAGACACAGAACAACAAAGAAATTAAAAATAAACTTAAACAGAGGGCAGAACCAATTGTCAAGAAAGCACATTAATATAATAAAACTTGCTGTGTTGACATTTTATGGAATAAAAGATACAGGTAGAGGTTTTGAGGCTGGGTTCGTAGTAATCAGCCCTCGTTGCCCACCATGTAAATAACAGCAGTCATTATTTTCCTATCTTTGGAGACAAAGGTAATTTTTTCTGGACACTAAAGCTGACGGCTGATGGAATTTGCTCCATTTCTCTCTTAAAAAAATTGTAGTGTTAAAAAACCACACATTTGTACGCAGTGGATGTTATACTGTATTTAATATTTGGCAGCGCTGTAAGCCTTACTAAATAAGTAAAAATATTACTAAAATTAGCTTTCTTTTTAATGACCCCTCTCTAAAAATCCAATAGCAGAAGCTTATTTCTATTTATTAAAGACATGTTTTATGTAAAATCTACTTTTGTTAGCTCTTAAATACTTTTTTTGTTATGTTCCTGGAGTCCTAAAATTTCAGAAAAATTTTATTGTCTCATCAATTCCTGCATTCCTACTTGGGTGATAATTTTTAGTCACTTCAGTTTTCTTTCTTTATTTTTTTAGGTTTGGTTATTTATTAAATTGAAGTGTTTACTGGAGACTATTAAACAAGGTCACAGTCTTCTGGCTTTTTTGTAGTTTAGTTGGATTTAAGGGGCACAGAACCATCAAACAAACATCTCTAAAACTTGCATTGGACAACACCAGTAATAAACCCTCCCCCAGCATCAGACCCTTTTTGGAGAGTGTGGTTAAAATAAATACTTAATAGAAACGTTACTACATCAGTGTGAAAAGTTGTTTTTTATTTATGAAGCACTTCACGGGGCGAGTATTCTAGCAACCTGGGTTAGTATGAAGGATTAGCTGAAAGACTTTGTCTGAGGATTCATTCCTTTTGTCTACAACAAGCAATGAGCTGCTGTTAGAGTTAGTAAAACAACATCTTTATCACAGATGTGTTGATGTATTTACTGGCTATTGTTTTATAGCAACGGGCCTGCTGCTTAAATTAACACTGTGCTCCTTGTAAGCTCTTTAAAAACATTACCTTATTGTGTATTTTTGATAACAATAGTACACTAACAATGTCACAGTCTGTTTGCTCATCATTTTGATCCATGACTCTTGGCACTAGTGTTTGCTAACTCATTAGCTATCCTGGGGTCTTGCATTAAAGACATCTTGAAGAATAAAGATCTTTATTGTCATTACTGACCCATAATTAGATGTTTTCTTGAGACTCATATTGAGCAAATAAGGCACAGACAAATTTAAAAGACTTTAGAAAGAAATAAGCATCCTTAAAGGTCTTTAGGAGGTCCATGTTCATTTATATTTTGGTGGCATTTTTATTTTAAAAGGTATCTGGCATGTAGTTTGTGTTTAAATATTGCCAGTAACATATTATGTATGTGGATTGTTGAAATTTCCATTGCTACTATTTAAGAATTTTTTTTATTCTCCACAGCCTGATTAGGGGCAGGTTGTGAATGCTGAAATTGGCATATCGGAAAATCAGTCAAATGGAAAGCTAAGAATCTACAATAATGACAAATTCAGACCAAAGCACTGCAGTTATTATTTAAATTTAAAAAAAGATCAATCTACTGTTTGTAGGGCACTGACTGCTAAAAACATCCCAGTTGAACCTACAAAAAAACCTTATTTCATATTTAAGAGATGTGGGGTTCAGAAGGCTCTCTTGATTTCTTAGGTTTTGCAACAAATTGTCATGAAACAGACCAAAGCAAAATCACATCCAAGGCAAAGAGAGACTTTCCTCTGTTAACTGTTCACATATACAGGATTTACCAAAGTGTTGCAGACCGCATTTTATATTTTGAAAATTCCCATTAGTAATTTTCTATCGAATCCCCCAGCATGCTTCAGGAGTTTAATCCTTTAATTCATTGTCCTGTTTCCACATCTTTTTATACTATCCCAGTTTGGAGACGGCCAAATCCACCGCCCAGGCAGCCTCCATGGCCTCTCCAGTCGACCTCAACATGGCCTTCACTCAGCCCACCTCCCCAACCACCTCTCCTGCACCAACCCTGGCCACCATGGGCACGCTGACCCCCACTCACATGCTGGGTACTCCGTACGGTGCTGTCCCGCTCTCTGGGCTTCTTGGGATGAAATCCGTCCCGTTTCTGACTCTGTCCAGTCCCACACCCACTGTAGCTGTCACTGCAGCACCCTCTCACACTACTCTTGCCGCCTACACCACAAAGATCTCCTCAGCGAACTGCATCAAAAAACCCGAAAGACAGAAGTTTGCTCCTTACTGACGAGAGTCGGCTGAAAGACAGCGCCGTTACGCCCGATGTAGCCATATTTACCTGAAGAGATGCTTCTGATTTTAGCTCGCTGCAACAGCAGAGAGCCGTGGAGGATGCCATGAAAGGTTGATTTACAATTGTAGATAATTTCCCACTTTCCCATGAAGTGATTGACTGCTTTCATCATCCTCATTAGTGTTATCGATTGTTTTGGGGAAGGAAGAAAAATAATCAGAGAGACATATTTAAAAACCTCAGTAAAAAAAATAAATAAATAAATAAAATCAGTCTTGTATTTATCCTTCAATAAATTTGTAAATTGTAATCAGAATCAAATATCTGTAGACTGTTTGAAGCTTTTATACAATATCCGTTTGCCTCCAGAAGTTTCTAAAAAAAAGAAATTATAAATGTCCAAGGGTTGTCTTTTTTTTTGATAATTTCTGCTATGGTACTGTACTTTTTTCAGTGTTATGTCTGTTTTGTTGGATTTTACTTTAAAATTACAACTTCGTTAATCTTTATTTATTAGCATTGTTTCATGTATTAAAAAGGTTTTTTTCTGATACTTCAGATGAGTTTGTTCATTCAAATGTACTATAAAACATGTTTAATCACAGGATACAAAATCAGATTGTGTTTGATCAGTTTGCTGTTTTTGTTGACAAAATAAACAAGAGGCACTTTTCATCATGGTGCTTTCACTGCCAGGAGGACTGCAGGATAAGACCAGAGAAAAGATGACATACATGTAAGGGTGCACGTGCAGAGAACCCTGCTTTCATGTGCAAAGACTCTTCAAGTCCCTTAGGATGAAATAGAGACAGAGTTTTGAAGAAAGAAAAGCACAATCTATGTTAGAAAAATAAAGAAAAGAAAGGAGTGAATAATTCTGCCGTAAACAAGCAGGGTCTAAATGTGCTGCTGCAAACTTTCTGGAATCAGAACTGGCTGCGTTTTATCCTGACAATTAGTTTTTTCTCTTTCTTGTTCCTGCATCATAATTGTGTGAAACACAGAGCTCACAGTCTTTGCTGCAACCAAAGAAAATACCTCATCCTGGAAGATAACAGCTTATACTGCCCATGTGATGCATCCATCTATAGTTGCGTTCCACAAGGAGAACTACATTACTTATGAATTTAAAACATCAATGGATACTTTTGAGTAAAACAAATATGTTTATTACGAAGCAGATTCTTAACAAGGTATTTCAGGAAAACTATTCCAGAAATAAAGCAGCTAATAAGGAGATATACTCTGAAACAGAGGGAACTAATCTAAGCAAATATTTTTCTCCATAAATGTTAATTTAAGGGGGTTCTATTTCTTAAACATTTTTGTGTTTTTCTTTTTCTTTTGGAGCAAATGAATGATCTATTATTCCAAACCGGGAGAGAATGACAGTACATGCAAACTTACCAAAACATGGTCATCCATTTATACAGTAGCAATAGGTCTAGCAAGGATAGCATAAACAAGCAACTCAAAGGCCATGATAGCTACAGTATACAGGACCTGCAGGAAACCTCAGCTCCTGTAGTAATTCTGTTGTCTGTCATTTGCTCTAAAACACCACAGACTGTTAAGAAAAGTGATATGTGGTAATCCCAGCAAGAAGATGGATGAAGACTAATACTTGGAAATCTTGTAAGACCAAGCTAAAAAAAAAAATAATAACACAACATGGTGATGAAAGCTTATCTTTACACTTATTTACAGAGACCAGACAGACCAAACAACTGCATTCAAGTCAAATAAAGAACAAAAAAAACTCTCCTGTTTTTTGTTTGTTTTGGTTGCTATTTTGGGAAAAATGTCACACAAAAAAAACATTTAGTCATTTTTTTTTAGTTTCCCAGAAATTGGGTTTATTGTATTTTGTATATTCTGTTGTATTCTGAAAATAGACTTTAAAAAGTTTATTGAGGTTGCGGTTATGTGGAAAAAGTGTGCTAGAATATAAAGTAAGCCTCTGCATTCATGGTCTCAATTGTTCACGAAACCTTTTACACCATAAAAAAAATTTGTTAAAAAGAAAGAAAAATATTCATGATATACTTCTTTCAGAAAAAAAGAAATTAATGTCAGTTAAGCTAAAAGCTACTCAGGCAAGAGCACATTAATATTATCTTCAATTAAAATCTCAAACATCGTATAGCTTATAAATCTATGTAGCACTATGGTTCCACATTGTTACTATAGATAACAGATTTGTCTTCAATATTTTAAATATATATATATATATGTGTGTGTGTGTGTGTATGTGTGTGTGTGTCACGACTCCTTGTGCAACAGTAGAATATGTTACCCATAAACAGACACCTCAGTTTTGAGTCCAAACCTGTTTAGATGAATGTTGCATTTCTTCCTCCTCTATCCCTCCCACTTCTAGTCTGTTAACCACTGATGGAAAAACAATGTGGGGTAAAACAAAGCAATAAACTCTCTGAAACAGTACAAATAAAATGTGTAATGATCAGCTGTGCACAAGGATTTACAGTTGTCCTAAAACAGGCTCTACCTCCTGTTTAACTCAGTCAGCGATGAAAAAGGGGCTGAAAAAATCTAAAGTTTTGAAGTTAGTCACAAATATATCCTTTTTTGACCCTAATTTCTACCAGTAAAATTGTGGAATACCCGTTAATATAATTTAAATTCAAAATTAACTCTTGAAAGCTATTTTAATTCATGCAAGTATGTTTGCAGAATTTTATCAGACTTGTATGAAACCTATTTGCAATGTAAGAATGTTATTAAAAAAAAAAACGCATGCAGTATCACATTAAAACCAAAAGGAATCAGTGCATCTGGATTTATCTTTATTTTATGGTGGCAAAGTAGTCAAAAATGTGCACTAATTAGATGATTATTTCCCCCTTTCCAAGAAAATGTCTCCTTCACCATTCCTGTGTGTTTTATGGCTGTGAAATAACAGCTCATTTGGCCAAAATGTAATTAATAAATAAAAGGGACCCCAAATTTCGTTGACGCGGTCATTTAGGAGCAAGCAGCGCCCTCTGCTGGCATTGGGAGGCACTGTGCCCTGTAGGAACAGCACAGAAGAAAGAGTATAGGAACAGATTGAGAGCTGATAAAAGATTGTCTTTAATGTTTGGCATTGTTAATGAATTCCATACCACAGCAGTTATGGGAGTAGGAAAACCACTTTTACAACCAAACACTTTTTGATCATGCTAACACCATATGTACAGGAAAGCACATTGAAAAGTGTATAAAGTATTTATATGAGAATTATGGTGGAGACAGGCCACAGTCTAATGAATTTGTCCTTTCCCAAACACTGATTATAGATATTTATCAATTACATTGATCTCTTGAATACATGTATATACACAAAACAACAATAAACCTTTTTTTTAGGGCTTCTGCGATAAATCTCAAAAAATATCTCACAATACTGCTGTATGTACAATAACAGAATGTACATTGAAAAATCCTCTTTGAGTATCACTTCACTCGCAATTTATTGTCAAAACCAAATATAATTAGTAACCTCAAATCCATACAAACGACAGCAGCCTATCTGATTCCTTCTTTCAGTTTCTGTGATATGCACGCACAACTGATGAGCTCACATACAAAAATAGATCTTGTCTAGTCAGCTGACAACTCGATGTACAGAAACACAAAGCATCCACCTGCAAAAATCAGCAATTGGTAAAATATTAGCTATATCCTTCCGACCAACAACGTGACGATAAACAGCGCAGTTTCTCCTACTTTGACAAAAAAAAGGAGCATTGCTCTCTGTCTTGTTGATCTTCAGCTTTCTCCATCATCAGAGTTAAACAGCAGAAGGTGAATGAGAAAAAGCTTCAGGCAGGTCAGAAATATCAGCACTAAAAAAAAACAATAATCTGAAACCAAAGCCAAACAAAAAAACATAGAAAAACATCACTAGGTAGATATCTGTTCTGTTTTTTGTTTCTCTTTCATTAAGAGGACAGAGTGAAAAAATGGCTGTTGCTAAATAATGAGAGGTCAGACTGCATTAGAGTGCACTTAAGGCAGGCAGGCGATTCCAACACCGTCAGGAGGGACCTGATAATGCCGCAGCAGCAGTGCGGGTTCAACCCTCATCGCTGACTTGACAGCAGATGCAGAAGGGGGGAAAAAATGTGGAGAGGAAGGTTGGTGACCGGAGTCCAGCAAGGAGCAATGTCAGGATGTGAAGTGGAGTCTTCCTGCTATCTTGGCCATGAACATGAAAGCCCATTGGCATGAGGCGGGTTTGCCCCTGTCCTCTGTTTCCCAGCAGTTCCTCATTCATCTCCAGATATCTTTGCCACACACACGTAAGACTAAGGAACTAATGAAGGACTTGACTTAAAGCACTTGAACATAAAACTGGGATTTGCAGCTTGTGCGATTACAAGAAGAACAACTCGTCTGAATACATTCACGTAGGTGTCCATACACTGGTATGTATGGAACACTGGTAGCTCATGTCTAAACACAGAGCTGCAGGCCCAGTCTTGAAGAGCTGTGATTCATGAGAGCCCAGCAGCAACACATATAACAGCGCACCATCTGATATGATTCACTATTAAGGAGCACTTAACAGTGTTGTTTGAAAAAAACAAAAACATGATGGGTTTTAGCCTTTGAAAATACTACAATGTAGCAAATTTATCAAAATAATTATTCGTATATATATAGATATGAAGCGTTTAAACAAGAAAAGTCACTCCACTGTGGATAATAGTTTGTTTGGTGTGAAAAATGACATGAGAAGCCAAATGAAGGTTGACCAGAGCTAATACTGCACCATAGATCAAGTTGGATGCAATGTTCCACAAAAAACTGTTGAGTCATATAACTGTCAAATGAAAAAAACATGCTCACAGACGAATTGTACAGCTCTGTACAATCTATCGATTTTTGTACAGAGTTAGTTTGTGTGACTGTTCTGCAGGTTCTTTGAATCCATGTCAGAGGCTGTGTGGACTGGTAGTCTGTGCCTCAGACTGCAGCTTTGTGGAGTTAAACTCCTTCTCATCCCTTCATGTGCACTGGCGATAAAATACACGGTGACAGGGATCAACCCGAAACACACGCATGCTTTACACGAGATGCTTTGTTACTGCTCTCATGGCTCAGTGCAGATGAAGAGATAAAGACACGATCCCTTTGACTGAATCATATGGAGACACCCCCCCCACATCTCCTCATTGGTTTTCCTCATGTTCCTCACTGATGCACTGCTCCCAAGGGTGTTTTCCTGGGTCCTCCCTGTGGCCGTGGGG